AGCTACTTGGATTTTCCTCATCACATGTACAAAATTAATTCGAGCATAAATAACCAATGACTGGCAACTTTTATACAAAATTGTCTAAATGTGCTAGTGTCTATATGTTAACGAGGCATTCAAAGAGCAATACATTTAGAATGAGACCGATGTTCTGGTTGAACTCAGGATAAGGTATCCTGAAGTAAAACAAGGACGACCAGTTCAAGAGAATTATGATGACAAGTTGCATGCTCTGACTTCAAGTGTCAACAGCCACTCAAACTCTGATGAAATCCGCTTGCATATTCCAATGCTGTGTGACTGAATATTCCACGAGGGGGTTCCAAAATGTTCTAAAAATTGCTCAAGACGAATTTCGAAGAGTATCTCACTCGGGGCACTACGAGAATCGAACTCGTGACCTCTCGCACCCGAAGCGAGAATCATACCACTAGACCAAGTGCCCGCCACGATCATGAGGAGCGCTTCAACTTATATATTGCACTAAAAAGGTAAATATCCAGGCTGTTCTGCAGTGTCTGTTTTCCTTATTAAATTTTTTCTCCACTGTTTTCCAAATGAGGATTAATGGATGTATATTTTCTCGCCTTGTCTTTACTAGTTATACAGTGTGTTGTTCACTTCTTTCAGTTAGTTTTAATGAATAAAGGAGTTTTGGCAGGTTTTTAAGGGTATTATCATATCGCAAGCTTGAAATTCATGATTGCGTAGGCTACACTTGAGTCGCAGATGTCCTAGAGGCTCTGATCTGATTTGTTTGTGTCGCACCGTTCACTTGTCCAGACACAATGCATTAAGATTGGAAGTAACAACATCAAGAATTGTTAGTGTTTCATATAACCCTCAGTTAAGCCGAAATTGTCCACATATGGCGTGGATACCCAGGGAATTGGCATGTATAACACAGTCTTCGTCCTCAGCAGCTCAAACGCAAGCAGATCTCTTCCTAAGACCCAGTCATATTTAGACTGATTACCCTAGAGAAGCGCTACTGTCTGCAAGAGTGGGCATAGCGCTGGGGCTCGAGATTGTCGTGTACAGTACCAGCAAGGCAGCCACCCTTCTTTCGGTGTGGTTAAGACATGTCATCCTTGGGTGTTTATAATCCGAAACAAACTAGAATGTAAGCATTGAAATTGTATTCAAACAATTATCACCCTCTATTTCACACGCTAATTACTACCCCGTTTAGGCACCGAGTCTCCAATATACAAGATGTACATGACACTCTATCAAGTAGAGCGACCCGTTCAAGTACGACATTCCGCAGAGAAGTAACACAGAGAGTTCCTACACTACAAAATATTAAGCATTGGAGAAGGGTTGAAGGCTGTCAGTTGGTAGTGCATGTTTGTATCCCTCACAGACAGACTCGGAACAGGTCTATGTTGATGTCATCATCCAACCTCCAATCCCTATCCAACTATAATATATTTGGGGAACCTCAGTCGAAAGATGGTAATGTTCTACACATCACAGAATTCAGATGCTTTCAGATTATTATTGCAGTGCTGGCCCTCGCCGCACCCTAATACCACAACATATCCGAAGGGTGGCAGGAGGGCCAACCCTGATGAATCTTGTGTGCTTTCATACGACAAGGACGACAGTATACCCTCGACTTGATTTCTTAGACTCATCGTCGCGGGAACACAAGGGCTTGTTCAGAGGATTTCCCCCATCAAAGGTCGCAGCAACACTAGGAAACTGCACCAATTGGAGGACAAGCTCACGCACTAAAACCACTCGAACAAAACTAGCAGAGTAATTAACTTTGAACAGGACAAAAGTAATGGTGAAGGGACAACCCAACCCACGTCGCGCCTGACCGACTAAATTTCGGCAACCTTTACGAGGCGCTGCATCATAACAAGCACGGGGCTAGCTCAGGCAGCACCAGATACCAGAGGCCTTTTACATTGACCCTCGCACAATCAAAGTCACTCTTATCAGCAACCCGCAAGAAAACAAATCACGACAGCAGCAAAATAAGACTACTCTCTGCTAAGGACCACAATACATCGAAGCCAAAGGCCGCATCCTGCAGACTTTTAGAATGATTGCACATATGTAGCAAAAACAGTCACCGAAACCCTAACGCGACCTTGACAAAGAAACGGCGAACCCTAAATATCCCTTCGGATGGACGCACATCCTTTGATCTCGTCCATCCAAAGCCTTGAAAGTTTTTCATTCATCTCTTCGACTGTTGAGCATGCTTAAACTCGTTTTTCTGTAATGAATGAATATGATGTTTGAAAACCATTAATTAATCTTAAGAAGATTTGAAGTATGATTATTATTAAACTACTACCACAAAGTATCAAACTCAAGCATGATAAATCATGATTATCGCAATCGCTATTGCAGAACTTATGAAAAAAAACAAAACAACAATATTTAATTCTTACTGATTACAAGAAAATTCAACAAAATTTTCTCTATGTAATAAAATTAAAATGTGATTTAAGAAAAAACCAATAAATTATGCAAATTTTTCTTTTAAAGTAACCATGCAATAGCTTTACATGCATTACAATTTTGTGGATTTGTTATTATCTTCAAACAAGATAATACTACAATCAAAGGCAAATATCTATATAGATTAGAGTTAAAAAAACAAGCAAATGGTACCAAATTTATTTAGTATAAAAATATAAAATTAAGCCATAAATTTTACAATCAAATATTACAATAGCTTGGTATATATTTCAATAATTTATCAAAATACATGATCAGGATTTAAATTAGGTTCATATAATATAAGATAATTGGTTTAATTTAGGATATTTATCTCAAGTAATTTATAATTTCGTCGCATAATAATAGAATATTGTTCTAACTTACAATTCCTGCAAAAAATTATATTTGGTAGTTGTGCAAGCATTTTTTGAATTTTGTTTTGTTGTTGAACAAGAATTATGATAAATGGATCTCCAATATGTCTTTTTTAATCAAAATTTGTGCTCAAAGTTATTTGGCATTTTTCTAAATCATTTGGTTGAAAAAAAAAAGGAGCTAATGAAAGGTTGGTGGAGAAACAAAAGAATGCAACCAATTCTCAACACTAGTCAAAATCATTTTACCCAAATAACAACTGCAAACACATGACAAACACAACACCTTATAAAGTTTTAAGAATACAACAATGCTCAATGGTGAAAAATAAATAAATAAATAAATCTTGATGCTTTCTTAACATTCTTCTCATAGAATATCATTGACACTTATTTTAAAGAACATAATGTTGTTGATGGTGGAAAGTATTGCTTAACAAACTTAATATCAATCATTAAAGTAATTGTTGGAGACATTACAATAAGAACATTTGTTCATGCTTACAAAGAACAAAACAATAGTATCCAAACCATCATTTAGTGTAGGATGAATGTCAAGAATACAATTTAATTTGACTATGTTGCTTCTCTTATGGCATGTGGCCTATCATTTTACTAGAGTTCTTGTGCAATCAAGGAGATTTGTGATTGTCTGGAGGTTGTTGCCAAAATATGATGTTTGTCTCCAAGAAAAGCTTAAAATACATTTTGCAGTATTATTGCAACATCATTGTAGCTCATTTCTAACATTATAAATGCATGTTTGACATTTTTAATTGCTGCCAATATTTCCACTGATGATTTTAGAAACTTCCAATTAGATTGTTGTATTTTTTTATTTTTTCTATTTTTTCTATTGGTGACAAACAACAATAAATTGATGTTTTTCTAATTGTTAACCATTTCTCTCTTTGATGAATTCTGTATGAAAAATCAATATTCAATGTCATGATGAAGTTTTTCAATGCAATATGCTTCAATCAAAGGAACAAAATAATTGGATCATTAGGCAATGGAGCACCAAATATGATTGGATGTTTCCAAGGATTTTCAACAAGAATTTAAGACTTAACAACATCCAATGTGTTTTGTTTCAATTTGTGCTTAGCACATCAATTTAACCTTGTTGTACAAAAAGTCATTGCAGACATTACTAATTTAGGTAGTTTTTGATTTTATAACGACTTAGACAAGAATTATGCAGTTCCATCCTATTTTAATATTGAGTTAATAGCATTCATCACTCTCCAGGCTAACATTGTCTTTGTCACGTGGCACTACCATTGCCTTTCAAAGTTGATGGACAATAGACAAATACAAATCAACATTGATCAAAACCTTGAATTGAACCCCTTCTCTTATAAAACATATATTTTAGAGGACTTTGCCTCATTTAGGCAATTCTTTGCCAATACAAGTGGTTTATCCTTTATGTGTGGTAGCCAACAAACTAAAAGCCTCTTTTAATAGAGACAGTACAGCAATCATCATACACAACATTTTCATTACATACCTTGTTAATTTAAATGACAGTGTAGTAATATTATATGGTTAGGAGAGCAACTCTCAACATGCATTGTCAATTCCTCTCTGTGTCCTACAAGCCTAGTTAGTACACCAATTGTTGATTTTGTTAAATGTTAGGTCTCTCTTGTGTTTTGCATATGGTTTGTACAAAGATTAGATAACCAAAGTTATTGGACTTTAGCAAAGTACATTACTTTTTCAAAATGGCGATACCCTAATACAAGAATCCAAAACCACATATCTCCAATTGTTACCTTGTTTACTTATTTCAAAAATCAGATGAGCACAATCTTTTCAAGTCTTTTCAAACCCACATTCTTTGACATTTACCTATCACATAAGCAAAAAGTGTGCTCCACATCAGGCTTCCAAACGATCACTTGTAGTGCTCGGCTTCATTCAAATTTGGTACTCACCACCCTGGCAGACAGGTTGGAGCTATTCAAAGAAAGCAGACCTGTGATCATTAGGGCTTTGCCGAGGCACACAGTTGGCAGAGAACTCATCAGAATTTGAAGATAATGTGGGGCCTATAGAAGATTTTAAAACCAGCAAAGGCGAAGCCCCACAATTACGGTGAAGCCTAAATGTACCACTATGGTGATAAACATGGCAGCAAGCTTGGGTGCAATGTTGAGAATACCTCTGTATATTCGAAACCTCGAAATTCATTAATCAGAACGGACAAGAATAAACATCAGGCAAGGAACCCAATGAAAATAATAGCAAGCAAGGAGCCCTACCAGACGAGCTCATGCTTGAGTATGTTTACACACCAGTAATGCCTTGAGTTCCACATCTATTTTCCACAAGTTTTAGGGATTACAAGCACAAAAACACGCTAGACGCTACCTAAGAAACAATTCATCTTATTTTCTTTTTAGCAGCAAAGAAGGAGAAGGAAGCTTCTCAATCATGACAACGGAGGGGTCATCATTGGGATCACCCATTGGTTGCATCCACGGCTCTCCATCCATTTGAAAATAAGCATTACGTCGTGTGGTCCCTCTGAACTCGAGTTTGACTGCCTCAGCCTGGAGAAAAAAGGAAAAAGAAAAAGAAAAAAGAAAAAGAAAAAAGGTTAATAAATTGCGACATCATTGTTAACAGAAATGTGCAGCAGTGTTACTAAACAAGAATCAAGTGCCAAAATTCGGTGTTAGTGTGCTGAAAGTATCGATCTAACGACTCTGACTACACAGACTGGGCAAGCGCATGAACCAGGCTTAAGTGCTTACTTGAAGAAGACGAACAGCAGTGCTAATTTTAAGGAGCATAAAAGCTGAGTGCCAACCATCCTTCAATCCCATGACTTCCAGCAAACCATCATCACACCTTTGTTCCTCCAAACCCTCCTGTATACGGTCAATGACTTCAAGTTACGAGCAGCGTTGAAAAAAAAGGTAATATGTATAAATATATATATATATATATATATATATATATGTAGAAAAAACGGTACACTCATCAATAATTTGACATTCCCATAAAGTTTTAAATCCACAGTGGGTCATTCAACAGAAACGAAACGCAGGCCAACGCGTAATAAGAGAACCCACCTTTTGTCTTATTTCTGCAGAGGGTTTTCCCCACGGGATTCGTCCGCCCGCGTAGCTTTGTATATTACAAATTACAATTGCTCGAATACTGCCGGCACAATGATGAATGGCATTGTTAATTTCCAAACAGGTAAGAGATTTGGCCGGGAGGAATAGCTGCACCAGAGCGCTCAAGATTTGGAACTTACTTGCTAGGAAGATGAATCTCCTGCCAATCTCCGGAGCTGGCGCCCCTCTTTCTCCCAGACAACTTCAAAATACTTGACAGGCCACTGCAGATATACAATCAGCTAATGTGATCATGGTAATTGATGATGCATTACGAATTAAAACACCCAATTTCAGTGATAAGTTGCACACGGAAAGTGCTCGTAGAATTGCAGCCATCAGAAGTCAAGTGCCAGACGACTTAATATATTATAAGATGTATTGGCAGAACCAATCGATCGCAAGGATAAAGTACGAACACCAAGGTTGCAAATATTCAAAATACCTGGCACCAGAATCCGTTGAACAAGCAGTGCAGAACCAACCTTGCGTGCAACCGAAACCGGAGTAGATAAGCTGCAAGTGATTCTAATACGTTAGTTTCAGTGTCAAAAAAATTGTCTGTGATTACAACAGATTGCCCCACGTGAATTAAAACGTATTGTTTGTAATGGAAAAACAAACATAGCAAATCAAGCAGACTCACTTTATTGGCTGCACGAGTGCGAGCGAGCCAGGGTTTTTCATCCCGCAGATGGTGAAAGTCATATGCCACTTGCGCATCCATTCCTACACCAAGCAACACAGCATGACTTCTTCAGTTTAAGTTCGAAGCTTCATAATGAATGATTCTCTTAACACCCATAAATTCCGTAGAAGAATGCTGATGGAAGTGTTGAGCTTACCGACACTAAAATAATTGAAAAACAACCCCTCAAACGCAGGAGCTGTTTCATCTTTATCATGCTTTTCACCAGACACCTGCGAAACGCAAATATGTAGGGTACCCCTTTCACCATCATTTTAAGCCGTTTGATACAACAATGAACTCATTGAAGTGGATGGTGAGTACATCCAGCAAACGAAAAAAACAATTTTAAACGCTTTTGAGGGATTACCGATGAAGGCAATGGAACGTGGTGCTGGGGATGCAGTGCATGTGGAAACTCGATATCGTGTGCAGCAACGGATTTGGCAGGCATGACTACTGCTTTCCAGCTGTAAAACAATTCATGTTGTAAGAACACAATTTTTCATTCCAAACCGAAGAGGCAGAACAAGCATAACTTAGACTAACGATCTCAGCAGCACTGTACCTGTCCACAACGAACTTAATACAAATTCACTTCTTAAGGACAACAAAAGGACGACGACCTCATGCCTGTACAGAATAGTCCTAATTTACACCAAGAGAACCACTAGCAGATATCTCCTGATCCGAAATGCATTAGGAATATAGTTTTATCTACAGAAATGTCCCACATTTTCTTCAGAGATGAAAACTTACGCATCAAGAGATGCAACATGGGCATCTAATGCCTTCACCAAGCAATTTTTCAGTGCTGATTTCCTCGTCGAACTAAATTCTCCTCCCTGTGAAAACACAAAAGTACAAGGAAAAAGAAGAATTCAGCCCAGTTCTTCGTAGCTTGTAAACCTTACTTTTCAAAAATTAAAAAGGGTGCGTCATGGCGCAATCAACATAGTTGTAATGTTTCAGACAACTTCTAGGCTGGCTCGAGTGCTGAGCCATCTCGTGAGAGTAAGTCCAACAAGAAATTCTATTAGAGTCTGCTATCTTACCCAGCCAAAACTTCGGGAAAGGTCATTTCCTGTGCCAAGTGGAATAATCGCTACAGGAGGAACATTGTCAAATGAAGAAATCTCTTGAAGCGCTCCTACACTAGAGAGGCACCATCCAACTGTCCCATCCCCTCCTGCCACCTAGAAGTAGATTTAGCAAATCCAGTCAGTCGTGTTAACTTCGTTTTGTGGAGTGTGAAAAAGGTCAGAAACTCCAGAATTCGATGCACCAGAATCGCAAAATTGGAAAAGCATTACCATGAAAAAGCATCAAGCGCTGTTGATTCATTGGACACCCACAACTCTTGCTTTGATCAAAAAGAAAATGAGGAAATAAGATAGCATGAAACAAAATATCAAACTTCTCCTGAAGAGTAGACATAAAAATAATGATGAGACGAACAAGAATGCGAAGATTTTCTCGCGTTTTGCGGGCGCACTCGTCTCCAGATTGAGCCATTTTGTCCAAGTGACCAACTCCATATCGGAGAATAGCTATCGGCGAGTGTTGTGATAGATCGTAGAGCTGAAAAATTGGAGGCACTTAATTAGCCACACGTCACTTTCAATCGATAAGGCTATCAATTTCATGTAAATTAAGATTAAGTAGGGTTTCAAAAGCGTTTCATTTGCGATTCGAATCCAAGATAAATAAAAACTAGTGGATGTTAAAACATACATGAGAACGATTCAATTTCTTGGATAAAAAGGCAGTCATAAGAGCAGATAAGTATCCTACTTAAATTGGATAGCTACGATGAAGAACGCACTTGACTTGACGCCACTAAGTTCCTTCACACGGAAGCGTGCAACATTGTCCTGTGATTCAATTTTTCAATCCATCATCGGCGAGTCTTGAGATCACAGAAAACAAGACGGAAAAGGCAAATGCTGATAACGTGGAGAAGTCCCTGACCTGGTGGGGACTGATGAGATCTTTGAAGTGTTCCATGAGCTGATCGCCTAGTCGACCTCCGCTTTTTGAGTTAATGAAAACTAGAACTGGACAGGTAGGTGCAACTATCTTTTCACCAGAAGGAGGGCTTTCAGGAGTCGCGGCACCTTCTGTTTCAACTGCTATAGCCATATCCTTGCTTAAATACTCTGGTATAACCACCGTCATCTTGAGATCTTTGTCAGTCAGGTTACGCCCCTGTTTGGTAAATATTGTGCTGGCCTTTTTCATTAACAGCCCTGAAATCAAGATGTCCTTGTAAATTATAACTCGTTCATACTGGACACCTATTGTAGTCCATTACCAACTCCGCCTTGCGACAAAACTCACTAGTACAATGTGAGGCAGCAATAAAAATACGTTCGACGCAGGAACTTCATACAAGACTCGCGCGTAATACCACAATCATGGCTAGTGGAGGCTAAGATAAAATCTCAAAAGGATAATTTTGACCAATTCCTGGTAGATTTCTTTGGTCGAAATTAGCGATCGTAAAACTAGTCGAATGAGAGTACTAGAGTAACAGTAGGCTAGTGCATATAAATCAATACCTGGTTTCTGAGTCGTAGTAGCAGAAACCGACTCCACCTTCTCTGCCTCGACATTACGGAATGCAAAACTTTCTGGTCCACTCACACTCTGAGGCCGCGGCATTGTACTATTCTCTTCCTTCCCGTCGACCATGGTCGGTGCAGGTCCTACAGATTTTTCCACAACTTCTTCGCTTATTCCTTCACCACTGATTGACACAGTACTTGCGTCAACGGAATTCCCAGTCGTTGATGCATCTTCAGCAGTCCAATAACCTATCCCAAAATTGAGTTAACTATTCAATTGTCTAAACCCAAACTTTCAGAATTATCACGTCCAACTTTAACCGAACACGACGATGTGTTCTTTTGTCTAGCTCATTCTCAAGGTAATAGATCCAAAACACCATAAAAGTGCAAACACTCAACAAAAATGGATTGATCTATTTTCAAAGGAAGAGAAAGAGAGCCCAAATCAGTAATCATACCGTCAGTGTGGGCAATGGACGGATGTGTTTCAGCTGCTTCCAAATTTTCCAATGGTGGAACAGACACATTTGGTTCTTCTGAAGGAGGAGTTACAAGAGTTGTAGGCTGAGTAGTTTCGGCAGCATCAGGTTTGGGTTGCACCAAAACTGAATCAGGCTCTTTATGGATCTCCAGTGGGGGGACCGCATCATCATAGCTACGAGAATCGTCAACTGCTGGAGAACTAACAGCATCCACCTCGTGTGACCCCTCTGGTGACACTGAAGGAGCAGATGGCTTGCTCATTGCCATGAATGGGCCTAACAATTCATGCCCCGGAATCTTCTTAGGAGCAACGTAAGGTTGATGTGACACTTCAGGAGATTCAGGCGTTTGAGGTGGTCCACTGAATGAGAAGGAATCCACACTGCCCAAAGCAGATACTAAATCCGGCGGAGTACAAGGAGATACGGGTGAAACCCCAGCAGCAGGATGTTTCTCGACAAGATTAGCAACAGGAGAGATGTAAGATTCCGGTTCTTGATCCTCTCCATCTCCATGGCTTTCAACCGGAGTATCTAAACTACTTGTACCGGCGTCAGAAGATTGAGTGAAACCTGCACCGGAAGCCTGAGGAGTCTTGAAATCTTCCGGAATAATCATACGAGCTGCTGGAGTTGTGAAGTTCAATCCTTCCGGTCGAGTAACCTTGGGTGTTTCCTGTACCTCCAAGGGTTGCGACAACCTCGGGGGCTCGAATCCTTCGAAAGTGTCGGAATATTTCGGGGCATGGTGGCTTTCCAGGGAGTTTGTGTCGCCCAGAGATGCAAATGACGGAGAATAACCAGAAGCGGCTAGAAAAGCTCCCGTCATGCTCCCATTCCTCTCATGCCTACCAGCACTGGTATCCTCCGCATGCCCATTAGGTGTTCCACTAACACGCATTGGCACTGCCGTTTTCTCTGAGGGAGACACCACAGCACCTGCTTCTTTTACCCCTAAACCCTTTGACGCACCATCGCCCTCATCGTCTGCTCTCGCCGGCGGATCCTCCGCAATCACAGCAGCAGGTTTTCCCTCCGAAATCATTTCCAGAGAAAACCTGCATATGGACACTTAAAAAAAATTAAGTACCGCAAAGAAGATCACCATGGAATCACATCATTCCTCGAGACACCCCCGATGTAGTACCCAAAATCTGCAATCCGACGAAAATGACTTGCCACAACAATACCCCCCAACAGATAATTCGCCCTACCCCAACAGCATACGTTTCCAATCTCGAAAGAGAGCAGATCTGCAACATATCCCAAACTTGTGATGCGTAGATAGGTATCTGAAAGACCAAAAAATAAAAATAAATATAAAAATGCTTTGCTGATTTGAACAACCGTAACCTCGAGCAGGGACCTACCGCAACGATGAACAAGAATAATCTCGCTAGTATACTTTCCGCAGGTCTCTTATTCACACAACGTTCCTCGTTTTTTGTCTGTCTCTCTTTAGTGTACAAATCACGGTCTGCGTCGATCGCCCTCTATAGCCAAAGAAAAATTTCTCCCTGGACAACCCATAACGTCAACGGATGACAGACCACCATCGCTGCTATGCATCACTCCTGAACAAGCCTTCGTAATCTAAAATTAAGTCGCATTTCATCACAGTTGGACCCTCAAAAATAGCCAAACTAAATATACATTTAAACGATAAAAACGAAGGCCGAAACCAAACAGACTCGTGCGTCTGCCTGGATAAGACGCTCGCAGAGATTGCAAAGAAACTTTGCCTTTGTCAATAGCAAAAAACAAAACCATGAGCTCATCACTCCCTCACTCACTGTCTCGCAAACCATGCAAGCTCACTCAAAGCTCCGCAACAGGGCCTTCCTGTCTCGCCTTCCACGTTGCTCACTCCTCAAATCACTCAAAACGACTCGCAAGCATCAACCCATCACGGCAGTACCTCACTGCCGCTGCATTCAATTCGCCAAAAGCCGACCTCAAACTCCCACGTCAACTGCAGATCCGTGGAAACGACTCCCAATCCTCAGCGATTGCAGCCTCTCTTTCTTGTCTGCGGCAATCCCATTCCCCACCACCCTGGCTACCAGACAAAAAACGCATGTGGATCTGATCTGGCATCGAATCGAGGCAGCGGATGCAGGAAGAATTGAACCGGACAACAGTGAAACTCTTCACCAGCGAGATTGCACAGTGCGACGCAATCAGGGGGGGAAACAACCCACAAACGGACGAACGAACTGACACATCGGTGGACGAAACGTCCAAAATTTTGACGGACGAACGATCGGACCTACAGAGACGAAAGGAATCATGCTTTCGGCATCCGCGGAGCCCCCACGCACGCAGCACGGGCTTTCAAACCTCCGCCTGGACCTGGGGATGCGGGGGGTCCTGGGCCCCACGTCATTCCGCCAGCGCGGCACATTTCCAGCCTGGTGGGCCACGTTGGCAACCGGAGTCAATTGCTTGAAAGCTGTTTTTGAGACGACGTCTCTGGTTATAGGGTCCCTTTGTGACGTTACCCTTTACCGCGTCCCTCTTGGAATCCCTCTTTACAAATTCCTTTTTTCCTTTTTCTTTTCATTCATAGTTACCGTTTTGAAAAATAAATCATGGCTTTATCTTGTGAAGCGAGTATTAATATTTCGACTTGGGGGGTGATTCTTTCACAGTGACCCACTGGCAATCTTTTGTCATATAAGGACCAAGGATTCTTATGGTTAGGAAAAAGTTTTTTAGTGACCACTTTAATCAGAATTGCTTTACATTACATTGTCCATACAGTGAATTGTGAGTCAAATACGTACAATCAGATTCCCTGTTCCTGCTACCTTAAAAGGTAATTCATGTTTGATACTTTTTAACAGGTTAAAGGATTCGGCACAAAATGCTTTCATGTGATGGTTAATGTAACTTTCCTTTGAAACTTAAGACGAATCTTGACAGAGAAAATTTTACGGTATTCTTTCTGAATGAAGAACCCACACACTGAAAACCCGTACCATTTAGAAATCGCTCCATAAATATAAGTCCGAGAAAGGAAGGTTTTGGTTACAGAAAGATTTGGGTTCCATTTGTACAGAGGAAGTGCATGAAATTATCAACGCTCTGGAAGGCCTTTTGTGTGCCTTCATGTAGGCAAAGTCAATTGCTGTGGGTGCACAAAGGTGGAGATTCGGTGACCGATCTGTGTCTTATGTGTCACTGTCCAACTTGGCATCCAGGGTGGCCACAAATATAACCCTTGCGAGAGCTCAATCTTACCATAACTTTCAGACCCAAGTGCATGAGCAGCGTTAATCATTGTCAAGGCAGTCTGTTGCCATTTCTACACCAATCCTTTACGAGACACCTTTCTCACCGTGGCGGGTTTCCTCACTCTCTAGAACCATGCTTTTTGAGATTTAAAAAGGGGAAAAAAAATAAAAAATAAACTTCTACCTAAACTCCAACAAAACAATACAAAACAATTAAAGAAAGAGCCGCCTCGTTCTCTCCGTCACGGGACGACCTGCAGTGCAACTGGTGCTCTCGTCGGGCAACGAAGCCCAAATGGGGAGATGGCCTTTGAATTGAGTTGGGCAGTCCATAGTGACCATTCAACCCGGAGCTTTTGCGGTGATCCATCGTCTTCTGAACCTCATTCCCTGATAAGTGGTGTGTCGGTTCTACGCAGGAGTCGGGCTTTGGAAGACCCCTAAATTCCGCGCGAGCCGTGGCCGAATTGCCGTCTTCTGCTTCTTCTCCTTCAACCACTACTGCTTTTACAGAGGGCAGTCCTTCGGCACTTGGGTCCTTGTGATCCTCATCATCCCAATCCTAATCCCCAAACCATTGATCCTACACTGGGTTGGCAAGGCTAGGGATGTCGACAGCGGGGCATTGTGGCTGAACCCACAAATGAGCCCTCAACGAAACCACAGGGAGAATTGCTTCAATCTGAAAGCCACGATTTGTGCAGAACGAAGCAATGTGAAAACTGGCAGATCTCGAATTGCGTGCTTGAGCATGAGAATTTGCAGCTGCTTGTATACATGTAATGCGTGCCTTGAAAGTTCCGCCACCCTCATATCCGAACTCATATCCGAAGGTAGGCACTTTCATTAAGCGGATTCAGACTTAAGGTTTTTGGGTGATGTTTCATTCGTGACGATATCCCAAAGTATCCCGTGATATTTTGAAATATTACTTGATACTTCACGTTGAAAGGTGAGTGATTTAAAATCCAAATATGAAAAGAGGGGTTGGTGAAATATCAAAAGCTGTCCTGCTTGCCTTAACTATCACACCACATTGCTCTCTATACCACATTGCTCTTTGATTTTTGCAAATCACCAAAATATGAAGTGATACTTCATAAAGTTGAAGGGGATAATAAAGTTTTGAATGGTGATATTTTGGGAGGTGATATTTCAAGTGATTTATGATATTTGGTTTTTCAAAAACCTTAAGTTTGAATCTCCTTATTGGCACACATCCAAAACATAGCCACACTCCCATAAGCACACAACCATGTATATAAAAGTTGTAATTTTTTTTTTTTTTTTTTTTTTTCTTTTTTTATTTTACATGAAGAAGGCTCTTGGTTGCCATGTTTAGAATATTTGGTACCTCTGGAAGTTAAGGGGTGAATTGTGCTTGGAATGGATTGTGAACAAACTCATTTAAGATTTGATTGAAGGTAAAGGCAACCTTTATTCACAAAGTAGATTTCATATACTTTGATGCCAAATCCTATGGAAGGTCCCAACTTGCACAATGTCTTTAATTTCTAAACAATATCATATGTTATTATCTAGAGCCCACTTAAGTTTTATTATCTTGTAATAAAGATTTCTTAGGAAATTAAAAAAAAAAAAAAAAAATGGGATATGTTTAGTTTAGTTTTAACTAAACAATTATTTTACACAAGATCATTGGTCTTGATATTACAACATAGTAAACATACTTCATCACCAACTTTAAATATATATTATTCTTTTATAAGAATATCAATATTAGTTTTTGGTTGTTCTTAAGTCTTTAGTTGTATCTTTATTACTATGTAAAACTCTTCTATTTTGCTTGCCAAGTCTTTTATTATTTAGATTTTAAAAAATAAAAAATAAAAATAAAAATATCAAATTATACACGATGATCATAAGTGGCAAAAAAAGAAATTCATTCATTAGAAGAATGCATATATATATATATATATATATATATATATATATACATATATGCTAAAAATAAGAGAATTATTTTATTGTCTTAGAAATACTTAATAAAGCATTATATATACTTATCTAATACTTAATTTATACATTTTTTTTATCCATTTGAAAAAAAAAAGATTATTTACTATTATTCTTTAATATGCCAAAAAGTATCTTTCAAATTTTTGATACAAACTAAGATCCTCAACTAGATATAATATTATTTAAAAATCAATGATAGCAATAGAGATCTGCAAATAAAAGTTAAGATGTTTCTTAACTTGTAATAGTTTTTCTACAATATAAAAAAATTATAATTTTTGTTAAATAATCCATTGTAATATGTATATATATATATATATATATATATATATTAATATTATCTTTAATTTCTTCATATCTATAGTAGAAAGACTTTAAATTTTTACTTGTAAAATTGATTTACTTGTATTTTTTTCTCTCAACTTCAAAGTTTTTAATAAAAAGATTATACTTTGTTATTGACTTCTTCTATAGCATTTTTATTTTGAGTATAACATTTTTTTTTTTTTTTTTTTTTTCCTTCTCTCTAAGTGATAGAAAAATATTTAAAAAATCCACATTTCAAACCAACGAAGGATAATTTGCAATCTCTGATATTAAATATAATTTTCTACAAAAAATGACAATCTACTCTTTTTATAAAAACATTCAATGTTAGAAACCAAAGATGTTACTTTAAAGATGTCTAATATCCAATCTTTAAAAACATAACAATGTTTCTTAAGAAGTGAGGTAATTTAATCACCTATAAAATAAAACAACCATAACAAATTAGTATTCTAATAAAACTAGGAAGTACATAAATCTAGTAAAAAATCCAAAAGACAATATGTTTATATATTAATAAAGAAAGAAAGAAAGAAAAAAAACAAGAAACAATTATAAGATAGAAAAAACTAAAATGTCTATTATGAAATACAAAGACGCTAAAAAATCTTGAATCAAGATTAGAACTTTTAAAAGGTATTGATAAGAAATTTTTTAGCTTTGATCTTGCATATATATTTTTTTAATTATAAAGAAGGACTCATGGGAGCTTTTTAGAGACTACAAGGCTTGCGGTTCAATTATCAGGTTATAAGTTGCTTTCAACACAACTTCCTAGAAGCAATAGCTATGTGGTGTATCTATAAAAGTGTAATTATTTAACCCAATTTTAGAAAACTTGCTCAAAGCTTCTTCAAAAAGATAATATCTTCATAACATATTTCTTTCAACTTCTATTTATTTATATTTAATTATACTTACTTAAGTAATATAGCCATTTTTTATAGCATGCTTGATAAAATAAGCAAGTATAAATAATTATTTGTGCGAATTTTTGTAAAAACTAAAAATTATATAATTTTAAACTTTTGATTTTTAATATTATTTTTAAAAACTATATTAGATATTTATTAAGTTAACTCAGTATAAAAAATTCTATACAAATTTAGAATTAAATCATTATATAAATAAAAAATTTAAAATTTAATTTTTTAAAGATTAATATCAATATTTTTTTTAAAAATTTAAATATTTTGTTAAATTATTGAAGGAACTAAAAAACATCTAATAAAATAAAAAATTATAATAATAATTATTATGATTATAATTAATAATACGAAATTCCAATAAAAAAACATATTTATCTTTTTGCATATGCACTAAAAAATATTTTATTAGATATTAAACACTAGGTTCAATTCACTAATCA